AGTTAAGTTGGCAGGTGTGTGGAGGTGGTAGAAAGGGTATGGCATTTTCTTCCAGGGCAATTTTTTCCCCTTTTATTTTGTTCCTTTCCCTTCATCTACTAAGTTTAGATGACCATTTCTCTCTTTCCGCCCCCCCTTCTTCATCCCTTAGGGACCCATAATCTTCTTGGTTACCCAAGATAACCTGTCTGGGTGTCTTTATATGCAATAGAAAGGCAGGAGTGATGAATATATAATGTTGCCTGTGATTATTTTTGTAGTATTCCTTTGTTTATATATATATATGTACAGAGAATAAAAGCAACCAGATCAGACGCACAAACCTTAACCTAGTCTTTAACCAAATCCTTAACCCTAAATTATTTCCTGAAAGCTGTCGTATAGGGCCCCAGGTCTATCAGTGCTCAACATTAACAATTCTGCACCATTATCTTACAGTGTTGAAATATACTGGTGTCAAATATACAGTACTGATTGAAAGAGTATACCACCTTGAATTTTTAAAGGCTCAGATTCACAACTATAAGGAAATAGGGATATCAAAAAGCATAGTGGTTTAGTTAATGGGGCAGCCATTTGCACAAATTGAATGCAAGGACAGAAATGACCTACATGCTAAGGGCAAATAAGCTGTTTCACTGAGCATCTTGAAAATGCATAATTTTTACATCTGGCTAGCAGTTCTTAAGCCTAATTAAAATAAAAAGCCACTGTGAGTTCCAGCTCAAGCATAGACGTATGCCAAGTCTTAACGCTATATCTACAGAAAAGTGTGAAGCTACTTCTACCTCTGAAAGGCGCTCTTTAAACAACAGATTACATTTCAAAACAAAATGTCAACTTACATTAGTGGGACAGCTGTATATATTATGGGTTTGACATACATTATGCCCATACATTTAATATTGTCAGGTATTAGGTTACGTCATGTTATGTTTTTTAGTTAATGATGGTACAGGTAATCAGGTGCAGGTAAATACTTTGTAATATGGTTCTGTACTTTTGTGTATAATTTTACTCCAGGTTATAGATAATTTGTATTTTTAAAATTAAAAGAAATACAATGTTTAAAATATACAGTTTGTTAATAGTATATCTAGTGGAAAGAAATTGATGTACTTTTAAAACTCACCTGTAAAAACAGTTGGATGGGGAAAACTCAGAACTATAAGCTTGGTGACCATCTCTGGATAACATATGGCAATTAACCATGCAATCATCCCACCCCAGTCATGGCCAATAAGGACACATTTGGAATAACCTGAAAGACAAAAGGTAACATATTGATAGCTAGACATATGGCACTGTAGTGGGCATGCACACATAATATCTGAAGTGCAGTCATTCTACAAATCAGGCCTTGTATGAATTTAGTGCACTATAGAACCTGCCAAAAAGACTGCTCTGCAGTTCTGGTTATGAATTGATTTCTGATTTTTCTTTGCTCTTACGAACCCTGAGTTACGCAAATGACGTGACCAATCCAGGGACTAATTGCACATAGTAGGGGTGAACATGACTGCGTCAAAAGCACAGGAAAGGAAAATTTTTGCAACATGCTTACACCAAAGTGTAATGGTAACTGAGATGTATGGAAACACAGTGTGCTGATCCCAGTACATACATGAAGATATTACGCAACAGATGGTGGATATGTTCATCTATAGGCTTCGGGGTTCAGTTTCAGATGATCTTTTCTTGTGTTGACTTGCTGCTGTATCTTATGACTGGTGTTGCTGAAATAATCCTCTGTTTGAATTGAGGGCAGTTCGGTTGAACAGGTTAAAATTTTGGAAGGAATTGAATCAAAACCTCACTGAAGTCAAAGGAGAAAAATTCTGGTGGTGTGTTCCAGCCTCTGGAGGGAAGCTGCAACTAAATAGCATAGGACACATCAAATCTCTGCGGAACAGGTCTGAGAAAAATGTGGACAGCAGTGGGAAGTGGATATTTTTTCCAGATTCAAGGGCAGCATGAGAAAGATGCAAATCTTTTAACATAAAGCATTGTGGGGTCCCTTAATGCTGTTAACATTGCAACAGAATCACTAAGGTTAATTTCTGCCACTCCAAACAGCAACGTTGTTTGTTGGAAGTGCCTACATTGCATTTTATGTCAACAATTTTTTAAAATACTCATGTTTTAAAGAAATGTCAGTCAAGTTAAAAGTTTTTTTTTGTAGTATTAGTATCAACTGGTGTACGTTTAGCAAGTGGTATAAGCTGTGCATCCACATTTTCAGTGGACAGAAAGGTTGTTTTCTTAGTAGTTGTACAAAAGTTAGCAATCTAGAAGCAGAACTGGACCTATCAATAGGCATCTGTCCAGACATCTAAAAATGAGAGCTTCAGCAGGAGTATGGTGGTTTGGAAGGAGGAGAGGGAAGCTATGCCAAGATTTGGTTAGGCTGGCAATGGGGTTGGTGCCCAGCCCAGCACTATAAAAGTATAGCTAAAGGCAGAACCTTTTTTTTTTAGTTTTTGGATAGAGTGGAGAGGTATTAGAACCACTTTCAGTTTTTATTGCTGTCTGTTCCTCCATTAGGGAGATTCACCCTGTCTCTTTGTCCTGTTTACCCTTGAACGTGAAAGTAAAAGATAATCCCAAATTTTGGGTTGTCCTCTGAAAAGTAAGAGAGGGAAATCTTCCAATGGGGACACAAGTTCTGTTGACCTGAGGTCCCCAAGGGACTTCCTTCATTTGCAGAAATTTCCTTCACTTCCTGTTTGGCTATGGGACAGGAAGTGAAAGGAAATCTCTGAAATGGAACACAGATGGGAAAAAAAATCTGACTAGGGTTATAATCTAAAATGAAAAAAAGTTTTGCCTATAGTTCTACTTTAATTTTTAATTATGTTGATTACAGATACTATGTAGTGAGAAGAATACAATGGCAATAATGTTAACAGCAAGGCCGCTACCTAGAAAGCAGAGTTTGTAAATATATACTCTGACATAAACAAAGCGTCACGATTATGGGTCAAGATTGGAGGCCAGTGGCTATAGCATTGGAAAAGCTCACACAGAAACCAGAAGGATAAATACACTAACAGATTCCCCTGACAGGTGACGTGGGCTCATCCGATGCATGGGGTCTAAGCACTAACCGGTCTTCACCAGAACTCCTTATGGTGTAAATAGGTTTTGCTGTATGCTACAGCCAGGTTGTGGTCTTCAGAATCATCCAACCAGGAGGTGAGCAAGTTGGGGTGTGGTGGTAGCCGGTAGAAATCAAGCAGAAGCGTAGTCAATAAACAAGCCAAAGGTTGGTAGCAAGTGGCTGTGGGCTGGGATCTTGCAAACACGCAGTGGTGGAACAAGCCAAAAGTTGGTAATGAATGGTAATAAAGATGTGGATGGCAGCAAGAGACTAAAGCGCATGATATTGATCGCGGAAGAGCACAATCTGGCAAACAGGAAATGCAAATGCATGGCTTAAATAGGAAGTTCATGGGAGGAAGAAGGAGTTCAAAGTTCACCATAAACAAGATAGAAATTAAACTTTGTCCAAGAGATCAGGCAGGGAGTTGTCTAACATCTTGGGAGGCAAAAACAGCTACTGCCAGGCACAGCAAAGATCATTGGTTCAGATCCAGGTCCTAACACAAAGTGGGAAATTTACTAAAACTGGAGCACTCAGAATTTGGTGCAGCTGTGCATGTAACCAATCAGCTTTTAACTTCATCTTGTTCAATTAAACTTTGATAATTAAACCTGGAAGCTGATTGGTTTCTCTGCAGAGCTGCACCAGATTTTGCACCTCCAGGTTTAGTAAATGTCCCCCATAGACTCTCAGCATGCTGCACTCACTGGAGTCTATCGGGGGGGGGGGGGGGGGGGTGGAAGTCATTTGAGATCCAAACATGCTTCATTTTGATAGAGATGAGGTGTAAAAATTGTGTACTTTATTTTTTTCCCACCAGTACTAAGTTGGCACAATTCAAACAGATATACAACCAAAAAGGACAGTTTCCCTTTATAACTGGATATATTCTAACTACAATTGTAGACACACAAAGTTGTGAACTCTTTTTTGTTTTGTTTTTTATAACTGCAGCACTAACTTATTGTGACAAATGAGTCAGAAAATAAAGAAATTATAGGCTCCTTTTTATAATTGGATGGACTATGTAACTATAAAATAGACACCCTAAGTTGTGTGTGTTTTTTTGTTTAACAACAGCAACACAGAGTTGTAATGATAGGCAAAAGCTAAATTAATCAAATTTAGCAGTCCAAATGCCTGCTTGTTTTAATGTAGTATACTGTAAATGCTGTATGATAGGCCTCACATGGCAATGAACTGTTACAGTAGTTTCCAACATTGCAATTCTGTGCTGGTACAGCTATACAGTACAAATCCCTGCCTGACAAATCCTACCTGTGCTAAGTTCTAATATCCAGCAAATGCAATAAAACACAGCAGTAGCAATCAGTTATGCCCCCTCTCCTCCCAAAATGTACTAGCTATCACGTCAGAACAGTACTGATCTAACTAACTAGACCACCTAGCTACAAATGACTGATAGCTGTAAATTGGCGGGTACAGTATTTAAACCGGTTCTAAAGTCTAAGCATATTTTACCATAATACATTCCCTTCTTCCTATACTACAGAGAAGAGGAGGAGCAAGGAACATCGGCGAGGAACCTGAGAAGAGGAGGTTCGGGTTTGCAGTTTGTACAGAGCAGGTAAATATGGCATGTTTGTTACTTCCCATCCGCCCTATAGCAGAAGTACTGCTACAGGGCAGCACGGGTGTGCAAAATCACTTATATATACCCGGGTAAGGGGGCATGCGCCCTACCCATGCCTCCATTCATGGCCTCGGCTGTCAATCACCGGGTTCTGGCCGGTGATTGACGAGCATTTCCGACGGGGAGAACTGCTTGTAAACAAATCAGTTCTCTCCCGTCAGCTCCTGCACACTGCTTTGCATGGCAGTGTGCTTACAGTGAAGCACACAGACACAGCCCTATAGTAAAACACACCCAGCACACAGTTAACCCTTTGATCACCCCACGTGTTAACCCCTTCCTGCCCAGTGCCATTAGTACAGTGTCAGTGCATTTTATTAGCACTGATTACTGTGTTGGTGTCACTGGGGATGGCAGTGACACCAAGTCAGTTCCCCCCAGTGTCAGAATGCCCAGCAGTCCATCTATAAGTCGCTGATCACTGCCATTACTAGTAAAAATTAAAAAAAAAAAAAAAAATTACACTGTTATACAAGCTGTACACTCACTACTTTACATTGTAGCAAAGTGTCATTTCTTCAGTGTTGTCACATGAAAAGATATAATAAAATATTTACAAAAATGTGAGGTGTGTACTCACTTTTGTGAAATACTGTATATACCTCCATTTGTAAACCAATTAATTTGCACGTGTTGGAATTTTTTATAGCAAAGACATGTAGCAGAATACATTTTGGCCTAAAGTTATGACAAAATTTGTTTTTTTTAATTTTTTTTACTGGACATGTTTAATAGCAAAAAGTCAAAAATATTGTTTTTTTTCTCATAATTGTCAGGTTTTTTTTTATAGCGCAAAAAAAAAACGCACAGGCGATCAAATACCACCGAAAGAAAGCTAAATTCATGGGGAAAAAGGAAGTAAATTTCATTTGGGTGCAGCGTTGCAATTTTCAGTCAAAGTAACGCAGCGCCCTAATGCAAAAAAATGGCCTGGTCAGGAAGGGGGGTAAATCCTCTGGAGGGGAAGTGGTTAAAAAGAAAATTTACTTTACAATCACTTTAACCACTTTTTCTGTCCAGGCCATTTTTGACATTTTTCACATACATGTTAAAATGAAAGTTTTTTGCAAGAAAATTACAAGCACAATATATTTTCTGAGCGCAAATACAAATTGTGGTTATCGCAATTGTTTATGTAAAAATACACTTAAATGCACTTTAGTGCACAAATATACATTATGATGCCAAATTTTTGGTAAAATATAAAAAATTATGCTACACTGAGTAAACAGTTACGAAACATGATTTAAAATTTCACACTCCTAAGAAATAGTGACAAAACTACAGTACCTATGTAGTGCCTTCTGGTGTATATAGTTCTTGAGAGTAGTTAGAGGCTTGCTAGAAGCCTAGGCTTTAGTAAGAGGATTACTTCAGGTCAGGGCTGCAGGGTTCTACAGGTCAGTCCTCTGGTACCTCCCCCTGCTCTAGAAACTTGAAGAAACTTCTAGAAGTCAGTAGGCAGAGGTAAGGAGGGGCTGATCTGCATATTTATGGGAGTCTGGCCAATCTCTAGCAGGAGGCCTGACAGGGTGGCAGACCATAAATATGATAGAGCCTAGCCATCAAGGGAGTCGGGGGAATATGGAGTGCTGAGAGGTGCTGCTGTGTAGACTGAGAGAGGGCCCCAGAGAATGGGGGTCTTGCTTCCAGACTGGAGGCTGGAGAAGGAAAATTGAAGGAGGGAGCTCCACTGCCCTACAGTCTACTGGGGAATTACAGCCTGCCAAGCTTGGAGAGCAACCAGCCCAACTACAGAGGACTGAAAGCAGTTCTATCCACCGCTGCAGGACAAGGACAGTGTGAGAACCTCTACACCCCCAGGTTCTAGAACAGAGAAGTCTGCTGGATGCAAGCTCTGGCAAATCTTCAGGAGACAGTGCATAACTTACCAATCCCCAGTTCTGTGATCAGATACCATAGCCAGGAGGGATGGTATTTTGTTCACTTAGGGGACTTAGAGCTCTTACAAGTTGGGACTTTGCTAAAAATCCATTTAAGCAGACTCAGAGCTCTTACAAGTTGCTGTACTTCACTAAAGAGACTGTCAGGGTGTCGGCTGGACCACAGTCATTCATATGCCATTGTTGTAGCATTTTCTAGTGAAGGAAGTTGTCCTCAAATTGTTATTCTGCAATCAAATCTACGGGCAGCACAGTGGCTAAATGGTTAGCACTTCCACCTGGCAGTACTAGGGTTGTTGGTTCAAATCCCAGCCATGGCACCTCCCGCCTGGAGTTTTCATGTTCTCCCTGTGCCTGCGTGGGTTTACTCCGGGTACTCTGGTTTCCTCCCACACTCCAAAGACATGCTGGTAGGTTAATTGGATCATGTCTCAATTGGCCCTTGTATATGAATGTGAGTTAGGGACCTTAGATTGTACGCCCCTTGAGGGTTAGGGACTGATGTGAATGTACAATATATATGCGTAAATTGACGGCGCTATATAAGTGCCTGAAATAAATAAATAAATCAGGCATCCCATACCCTTTTAGCCTATCCAAGTTAAATTCCCTAATAAAACCAAAAACACAAGCCTATAGACTGTTTCTTGTTTCTGGATGCAAGTGGAAAATGCGTGTTGCCTGACTGTGCAGTAAGTAAAGGGGGACCCAAAGCCAACGGCTCTCAAGAGGGTAGTGATACATGTGGGGTTTCTCGTCTGGGATCCCCTTGACCTGCATAGCAGTTGCCCATAGCAACCCCTGGTAAGGAACCGAAGGGAAGCTGCCAAAGCCCTAGACAAACAAGCCAGAGAGGAGATGTGCTGTGCTACCTGCTTTCTGGAACTGTGTATATTTGCCAAAGTATGCCAATACTTGTGCTGTCGCCCGTGGCAACCTTGCCCAGCCCATGCATTTCTGGGAAGTTTGAACGTCTTCCTGCTGCTCAGCTGGTAACTGGCGTTAAAGAATGTGCTAATCTTCAACCTGCTCATTTCAGTGAAGACTGTACTGTTGCTGTGCATGCCATTGCCTGTAGCAACTATGGCGGGCTGCCCTATTCATGTGGATTACAAATATTTCTCAGTCACCCAACAGTATCAGGGATCAAGAACTGTTCTTTAATTCAACCTGTTAATTTCAGGAAAATATGTGCTGCACTGTACTCTGTTACCCATGGCATCTGGTGTATATAGTTGTTGAGAGTAGTTAATGGCTTGCTAGAAGCCTGGGTATTAGTAAGAGGGTTACTTCAGGTCAGGGCTGGAGGGCTCTACAGGAAACTTTTAACATTTTCTAGAGAAAGAAGTTGTCTTCAGATTGTTATTCTGCAATCAAATTGGGCATCCTATAACCCTTTTACCCTATCCAAGTTACATACCCTAATAAAACTAAAAAAAACAAGCCCATGGACTGTTTCTTGATGCAAGTGGAAAATGTGTGTTGCCTGGCTGTGCGGGATGTAATGGGGGACCCAAAGTCAGCAGCTCTCAAGAGGGTAGCGCTACACCTATGAATCTCCATAGGCAACACTTTATAAGCCTTTACAGGTCACAAGTTTATAGTTAAATAGTAGATCTGGTGCTAGAATTATTGCTTTCACTCTGATGTTTGCAGTGATACCTCACATGTGTGGTGCAATCACTGATTTTTTAAAATTAATTTAATTTTATTATTAAACATTTTTTATTTTTGGTAAAAAACTTTATTGCTATCACAAGAGATGAACAACATCCTTGTGATAACTGGAGCAGTGATAGGTTCTCTTTATGGAGAGTCATACGTCACAGAGGAGGGCGAGGAACAGATGTTCCCTCTCTTCTCAGTCAGGAGCCAACCCGACAGTTTGCAGCGGTCCCCGTGGGGTTTCCCTTAAAATCCATACCAGATCCCAAAGGCTTGGTATAGATTGGAGGGTTACCCCCATGATGTTTTGTTTTTTGTAAACGGCAGTTGTTTTGCTTACATTTTGCTGTCAGTGAAGAATCCCGCTGACAACAGATGAGTCATTGTTGTTAAGGACGCAGGCGGCACACCTTAACAGCCAGCTATTCTGAAAATACAAAAGGAATTCCGAAGATATGAAACAAATTCTGAAAATGAATTGTTTCAATATTGAGGCAATGGACCAATCGTTTTTGTAATTTTGAAATTCCTTTTGTATCTTTGGCATTGTTTTGCAGCTGCTATATTTAAACACCCTATTCTGTTACTGTAGAATTTTGGCACACAGTCAGGTCCAAATAATTTAGGCAGTTTTAGAACTGATAGCTCATTTGTGCCATTTTGTTCAAGGCTGTATAGTTGTGATCTATCCTCTTTAATATGTAGCCATTAAACATATACTTCGGGGAGGAATCCAGGTCAGGTATGATGTGAACATCAGCCATCATGACTTCTGTTCTTATGATTCTGGCCCTGGTGACTTTCACTAAGGAGATTACAGAGCACAGAGCTTACCAGCTGCTAAAATTCATTTCTATTAATACGTGTTTCCAGGACCCCATTACCCTATTAAATATCACTGATTTTACAAGGTAAAGGAACCATATGAAAGGTTGACTAAGCTGAATTCCTTCTCTATATCAAAAACGTTTAAGTCTATTAAAGGGTTTTGCTGTTCTAAAAGAGACTTTTCAAAAAATAGAATCTCCCCTCTTGAAGTCACCACATTTCAACATCAGCAGCTACTGGGTGTAGCTGAAATGAGGACCCTTTAGTAAATCTGACAGTCAGAGATATGATGTAGCTGTGTCAGCCTTTGTTGTCCTGCCACCCGATGCCAAAGCCTATGATAAATATTCAACTACCCAACCACCCAGCCCAGCAAACTGACCAACTCATTTTGCTTCTGGACATTAAAACAGTATCTTCACATGCTAGTTTTTCAATGTAAGTAAATGCAAATGCAAGTAAAGCCATAAACAAAGTCATCTCTGAGAAGTAAGGTTGTACTATGCAAACAATTCAAGAACAGGAATGGAAATTCAGTTTATCACAAATGCCCCGAGGGGACTGGTTCATTTTAAAATGAAGTTTCCTATAAAATATAATATATTCTTATGTGAAGGCAGTCCTATGAACAATAGAGCTGTTTTGTTTCTCTTACCTAAAGAGTCTAAAATTTCTTTAACATCCACAATGATGTAGTCTAGTTTGTAATTATCTTTACAAGAAGGAGCATCTGTTTCCCCATATCCTCTTAAATCAAGAGCCACCACACGATATTCACGCTTAAACTCCCGCAGTTGATGGCGCCAAGAATACCTGCATTCAGAAGAGAAACATAAGAAATATAAGTAATGATGCTAATAGACCAGAGCATCATTTATTTTCAGTATCCAAAAAGATGTTATATGTTACTTAAAACTAACCCAACAAATAAATCTAAAAAGCAATACAGTTCCATCTACCCATCTCTGCAAGCCTGCAAAACTCAGATGGGCAGGCAAGTCCATACAGCACA